TTGTGGGGGTGGTGTGTGCAAATGGATACTGGTCTCGGCCCCGTTACTGGGAGCCTCCTGCTCCTTTCTTGCAAATAAATCTGTTGTTTGGCCCCCATCCGGTAACTGTTTCCACTGCTCACTGGCGGGCTCCTGCTGCTTTGAATCCTAGAATTGTTTGGGTTGGAAAAGACCTTTAAGATCATTGAATCCAACTGTTAACCCAGCACTGCCAGGTCACTGTTAAACCGTGTCCCTCAGCACCACATCTCCACGGCTTTTAAATCCCTCCAGGGATGAGGACTCCACCACTGCCCTGGACAACCCTTTCGGGGAAGAAATTTTTCCTGATATCCAACCTAAACCTGCCCTGCTGCAACTTGAGGCTGTTTCCTCTTGTGGTGTCCCTTGTTCTTTGGGAGAAGAGCCTGACCCCCACCAGGCTCCATCCTCCTATCAGGGAGCTGTGGAGAGCCAGAAAGTCTCCCCTGAGCCTCCTTCTGTGCTCAGAGCCTGGGGTGGGGAGGTGGCAGGGACCACTGGCCCCTCTCCTCCCAGCTCTAGCAAAGCTGCCCAGATCCTTCAAGCCCAACAAAGCAATCAGAAACATTTTCACCCTCTCCTGCATCTGAGTATGGAAGTTAGTCTGTCACGGCCACACGTGGCTGATGCTGGAGCTCCTGAGGGGAAGCAGGGAGGGAAAGGTATATTTTCCTGCAGGCAAAAAGCAAAAGCACAGCAGTGAGCACCACAACCTTCCCTGCTGGGAGAAGGCTGGAACACCAAGCCAGAACAGTTACAAGACTGAGGGAAATAATTCAAGTTGTCCTCTCCTCTTTGCAGGAAGAAAACAGCCTTAAAATCCCCCGTGGGGCGAGTTTCCAGGATTCAGTGCTTGGCAGCAGCTCTCCCCCACACCATGCTTCTCTTACCTGTTTGGTTGTGCATTTTAATTTGACCTTGGCTCACCTGCAAGCAGGTGTGATTTATCCCAGTGCTTTTCCCCTCTAAAGTAACGACATAAAATTAGTTCCTGGGGAGTGAGTCTGAATGCAGATGGGCTGTGACTGACACCAGCTCCAGAGGCAGGAACGATCGTGTCCCCAGCTGCAGCAACAACACAGCACCACAATCTAAACGTTTTAAGGCACGAAGCAAAGAGCATCACGCTCATGGGAAAGCACCTCGAGGGTCACCCGGGGGCAGCATTCCCTGCAGCCCAAATTTTGCCTGAACACAAGAACCAGACAGGCCTGTTCCCTTGGAAGGCGTGGCAGAAATCTGTACGCCACGGAAACAAGACCTGACAACACATCATTAAAAATCCACTAACAAGGGGGTTGGCTTAGTTTCTTTTTTTTTTTTATTATTATTGTTTTTAAATAGAACTTTTTTTGTTTGTTTCTTTCCAGAAGTCATTATATCCGACTCTGTTGACATTCAGGGAAACAAGTGGAAGAACAACAGATGGGCACGATGTCGTAGCAGGGGCACAGCCGCCGGGAGCAGGGCATGGCTTTTTGGCAGCAGCTGGACGTGGCTGTCCCTCACCCGGGCCATTTTGGGCCATTTTTGGTCACTTTAGAGGCCATTTTTCAGCCTCTTGAACACACTTAGTCCTATCCCCTCAACCCCCCGCCTTGAATTTCAGTCCCCTTCTTTTGCAATCCAAAAAGCTTCCCCCGTAGCTGTGACCCTGAGGGGTGGAGGGGGCAGAGCTGCAGCAGCCACCTTTCTGCCTTCCCTCAGCACCCTGCTGGATGGGTCCCCAGCCTGCCCTCAGGCCCCCTCCTCCCAGGGGCTGGAAGCACCCAGGCTCCTGAAGGCCTGAAGTCCACAAAGCATCCTGGTGTTAAGGTTAAGTGGTTGGAAAACTGCAGGGGTTCATCACACGATGCACACTATGAGAAATGTTTATTAAATCGGCTTTCGTTTCATTTCTTTTAAAAAATAAAAAGGCAGAAAGAAGTTAAACACACTGCTTTCGTGGCATGCTCCACAGTATGAAAAAATCCCAAGCATTCAGTTAAGCTGTCAGCGGCTCTGTTTGACCTTTCCATGGGGTCTTTGAACTTAGACCTGGAGATTTGACTCTTTTTTTCCCCCACCTCGGCTCTCTCCTTCCCCCCCTGCCTCAGCTCACAACCTGGAGAGGGAGGGGGCTGTGTTTACAGCTCATGATTTCACCCTTGGTTTATTTTTGGGGGGCGTGGAGGGGAGCAGGATGGGGCCCCGTGTCACGGACACAAATGTGGGAGGTGGTCTGAGGCAGGGCAGGGTCCTACCCAGTGGTTTTTTCCCCTTCATCTCAGCCAAACTCTTGGATCCCAAGTGCTGGAAGTGGGACAAGCCCCCTCGGCCCTGCACAGCTCCCTCTCTAGTTTGCTTTAAGTCGGGTCTAGCTTCACAGGAGGCTGGACCAGAGGAGACCCAAGTGGGTGTTTCTTCTGTGAGGGTTTCTCAGCTAATTCATTGTTCTTAAGCATGACGGTTCCTCTCTGTCCCTTTTCTCCCAGGGCTGACCCCTCCTCCTCCAGCTGACAACCATTCCATCGAACATGGGGACTCTCAGCTAGTAACCTAAGAAAGCATCACCCTCTCCTTGCAAAACCCCTTCTCTCCTGTCCCCTCCCACCACCTTCCCAGCTGCTGGGAGGGGAGGGAGCCCAGGGAGCTGCCTTTGGAGCTCTCCACAGTGAGAAACCACCTCTGAAAAGAGCCAGAGAATAAACTGCAGCCCACACAGGCTACATGGTCTGAGCAAAGCTCCTGCTCCTCTTCCTCCCACAGTTCTCAGGCTCCCTCTCCAAGCACCACTCTCTCCCAATCCCTCCTCCCTGGGACAACCCAGACCCCTAAGGTGACAACATCCAAAAACACGCCCGACCTGCCTCCAGACCCAGCCTGCCTTCAAACAGAGCTCCAGCTACGAACACAGCATCAACTGAATACTGAACAATATCAAAAAGACAGCATAAGGAAAGAAAACAGAACTGAAATGCTTAATGGCATATTTATACACATTTATCAACAGTCAACAACAACAACAAAAAAGAAGGCGGCGGCAAGTTACACATCCATTCTGTACGCTGACAATCCCGGTGCACGGAGAGGTGACCACACGTGCTTGGGTGACACAGATGACCTGAAGGAGCTACACTGGGGAGCAGGGGAGGGGGTGACCTACCACGAAACCTCGCCTCCACGACGTGGACATTCAGGGCAGTGTTGCTTTAAGGCTAATTTCTAAGGCTGAGTCTTCTTTTGTCCAACCCCTCGATCCCAAGTTCAAGCACAGATCACGATCCTCCACGTGATCCTCCTCTTATACCCAGCACAACCTGATATATATATATATATATATATATTTATTTACCTCTATACTTTCTAAAGGCTCTATCTACTAAAAGGCAGGAAGAGGAAAGGGAGGAGTGAAAGTGGGGAAAAGCCTCTGAATGGATCAGTTTGCCCCAGTGCAGGAATTTCCTAGCCCGTAGCGCAACCACGTGCAGTGGGCAAGTTAGGACTTCAAAATGACCACGGGACTCCCGCCCTCTCCGTTGCTCCAAAGGGGAGAGTGAAATACTGCAAGAAACAGAAAGATTCCTGAAGTGGGGAAGGTGATCAGGAGTTTCAGCTCCTCCCCTTCCCTGCTTCGAGGTGGCAAAGAGCTGAGTGATACGGACGTTTCCAGCTCAAGTGCCCCTACGGCTAAGGAAAAGGCTTTGCTTAAAAATATATATCTATAGAACTATACATATAGATCATCTTTTTAGAGATACTCTGATTTTATTACATAGCTCCTGGGTCACTCTCCCCCTCCATCTACGTGGCATGACAAAAAGAAGCCACATACCTCAAGTTGACAATCCAAACTAAGTGTTTCAACCGACACAACCTAAAATCCTGAATTCCTTTGCTTTGATAAGCTGATCTCCTGCCGTTGATGTAACTGGAAGGTCTTACAAAGAAAAGTGTTTTTTTTCCCCAGAAAAATCAGGTTTAGGGCAATTTCCCAGCAGTGTTACAATATGTGACAATATCCTCTAGAGTAAGGAAAATTTCATTGAACAAGAGAGTGATGTAAAGATGTTTTAAACATGCACACATGTGGCTGGGAACCCCCAGGCCTCATCCTGCCATATATAAATGCAGGATTTCTAAGGTTAAGGGCATTTTTTTTTTAAAAAAAGCTTTCTTCTTTTTTTTTTTCCAATATGATTTGTATGCAAGCATTAGCTTAAGAGTGGGAACTTAGTACAGAATTAGACTTTCCCCCAAATACCTCTCCATAAAAAAACATTGAAGGAGGTTAAAAAAGTGGCTTCATTTTCGTTTTGTTCTGTTTGCAAACGGGACCAAAATGAACCCACAGCCACTGACCCTTTAATAAAACCAATCAATGGAAATGAACCCATTTATAAACTTACAGCCCCAAGAAAAAAAAAAAAACAAACACACACAAAGAAAAACCCCAAAAAAAAAGCCCAAAACATCCCCGCTCTTCAGAGAGTAAAAAATCTGAAGCACGATTTCAGTTAAGGATTGACCTAGTGACACAAACCAGTTGGAGAGGACATGGGACACATCACACCCGGGTGTCAGGGGCTCTTCCCCCTCCTCTCCCAGGAAACACCAGGGAATTGGGGCCATGGTAGGAAAAGATGAGTATGAAGGAACAAAAATCCTAAACTCTGCTTCAGCAGCCAATTAACACGTATAAAAAAAAGTCAGTGTTGAAAAAAAAAGAGAGTTAAAAAAAAAAACCCAAAAAGGCAAAGTTTTCTGGTAACAGGCCACAGCCTTCTCCTCTGTACCTCTTCCACCAAGGTTATTTCTGAGCCACAGAGGGGTGAGGAAGGGGGAGGAAGGACTTGATCTCCTGCTACAGCAACTTTCCCCATCACACAAAACTGATGTGTAACTAACTCAGCCACAAGGATACGGGAAAGTTTTATTTATTACAAAAAAAAAAAAAAAAAGTACTTAAAAATAAAAATGATAAGCACTGTATGGTAATATTGGAAGTATTTATATACATTAAGTTTTCTTTGTCTTTTGTTGAAATGTCTCCTGGTCACTTGGTGGCACTTGGGGTCCCCTCGAGCGCCGTCCGCCCTGCTCCCCCCTTCCCCTCCCCGGCTCTCACGGCTCAGTAGACGGAGCTGTTCCTTATGCCACAGCACAGCACCATGCTCAGGATCATCTCGAAGATCTGTGGGGAGAGACAGGGGCAACAGTGAGGCCACGACCTGTACGATGCAGGAGCTCCCGCCATCCCAAGGTCCCCTGCTCCACATCAACACTCTCACGGTGGAGATCGGGGCTGATGCTTTGTCCTCGCTGCTGTCCTCATTAGGAGCTGCTAAGGGAGAAGATTAGAGCCCAGCTTTTGTGCAGGTTACCAGCCCATGCCACCCACTGCTCCTGCTTTACCACGCTCACCAGGCACGTGCTCAAACACCCCGACCCTCTGGGAGGGTGAGGAATTCCCTTGGTCCCCCCGTGCCCCAGAGCAGCCGGGGTGCGGAGGGCTGGCGCTGCGGACTGTGCTGCAGGGGCACCCAGAGGAGAGGGGGAACGAGGGGGACGGATCCTGCCCTGCTGGAACAGGACCGAGGCACCCTGAGGTGGCCTTTCCCCATCCCACAAGGGTGCTGTGCAGTTCAGCTCACCATGATCACGGCCACCACGATGGCAGCGATGCCGATCAGGTACAGCTTCCCGGAGAAGAGCTCGTCGATCTTCCTGTGGCAGTTCGAGGTCTGAAGCAGAGAAGCAGGCAGGTCAGAGAACTTGCTTCCCCTCACCCACCCCCAGAAGGGGACGTCTGCTTCCCGTGGTCCTGCCTCTAGGACTTCCCACCAGAATTCACCCCTCTGCATCTTGCAGCCCCAGCAGGCAGGAGGAGCGATGGAAGCACCAGCAGGAACCTCCGACATCCCTCAACACCACCCCCAAATAAAGGAAGCCTCAACCCTTGATCTAATTCCCCGTAAACCCTCCAGTTTCCCTGGCAGCTGAGTTTCCTTGCAGGAGCTCTGCTGGGTGAAGATCAGCTGTGCCTACCTCTAAAAAGGTTTTCAGGATGGAGTCCTTCTTTGGGCAGAGGTCCTCTCTCCACAGGGGAGTGACAGTTCCTATTGCATTATCAGGACCACAGCAGTCCAGCTACATGGAGAGAGGGGGAAAAAACAACAAAAAACAACAAAACCACCCATGTTATCAGACAGCAGACAAATACTGATGCAAAGCTCTCCCCACCCTTAAATGTCCTTGAAACCACCCAAGACCAAGGGGGCATCCTGGAGAGGAAAATAAGGGAGGGGGAATAACTCTCCAAATTAGATTTTTCTTTCTTTCTTTCCTTGCAGAGCAGTTGATTTCTACAGTAGTCCCAGACAGGTCTGGCATTGGTGTCCTGGAGAAGAGTAAACCAAACTCTTTCCGGAGATTTTGGGATTAGTTCAAAGCAATAGTTTTCTTCCATTGACTTTTACTTAATCAGGGGTGCTGGGGTAAATGAAAAGCAACTTAATTAGAGCTGGGGCCAGGCCTCCCAGCACAGCATGAAGGACAGAACATTGAAGAGGGTGCAAGTCTGTTTCTTAGAATGATAGAATCATTTAGGTTGGAAGGGACCTCCAAGATAATCAAGTCCAACCACTGAGCCACCAGGGCTCCAAAGTCCTCTGCTAAAACAGATCAGAATCTGTCAGGGTTGGAAGGGACCACAAGGATCCCCCAGTTCCAACCCCTCTGCCATGAGCAGGGACACCTCCCACTAGATCAGGCTGCCCAGAGCCTCCTCCAGCCTGGCCTTAAAGACCCCCAGGGATGGGGCCTCAACCCCCTCCCTGGGCAACCCATGCCAGGGTCTCACCACTCTCATGGGGAAGAACTTCTTCCTCATATCCAGCCTGAATCTGCCCACTTCCAGCTTTGCCCCATTCCCTCTAGTCCTGTTGTTACTTCTTGACATGTTGGAACAGCAAACTCCACAGGCTAAGACCTGAATGGAGCAGCATCTGCTTCAGACCCTGTTTTCACCTTCATTTTCCCACCCCCATTCTTAATTCTCCTTCCTCCTACATTCTCTGGTCACAAGAAATTCCTGTGGAGAGGGATTTCTACATAGAGCTTGGAAAGGATGCAGTGAAAAGCCAGTGCTGAGATAACATTGGATCCAGTTCATTCCTGAGCATCAAAAATAAACTCCAGTGTGACCTTTGTTCCCTGCCTGAGGACTGGTAGTTCCACTTACTGCCTCTGCCTCATGGGGAGGATCAGCAGCAGTTGCTCCTCACCACTTACCCACTGACAAATTGCACACAGAACCCCAGACTGGTTTGGGTTGAAGGGACCTCTCAAAGTCATCCAGTCCAACCCTCCTGCAGCTAGAGCAGGTTGCTCAGAGCTCCATCCAACCTCCCCTGGAATGGTTGCAGGGATGGGGCAGCGACCACCTCTCTGGGCAACCTGGGCTCAACACCCTCCTCATAAAAAAATCTCTTCCTTCTCTCTAGTCTCCATCTCCGAGTTCAAACCCATCCCCTCACGTCCTATTGCAACAGGCCCTGCTCAAAAGTTTGGCCAACTACAAAGAAATTATGGAGGGGTTATCTGCAGCACGTGGGACCCTGTCTGTTAGCAGTTGCTTGGGCCAACCCATGGAGCCCACCAGTCTCCTACCGTCTCGTGGAAGGTCTTCACAACAGCCTTGCCATTGCTCGAGTCCGAGTCTGCCATGAGCGCCTGCTGGAAGGCTTGGTCATAGAACTGCTTCACGTCTTTGGCTATCTAGGAAAGACAGGAGAAAGAGAAGACCTTTCACCCGGAGGAGGAGGAAACCCATCCAGCACATGTGTTCCCTCTAATGGCAGTTTTGGGATAGATTTGGACGCTGTTTATTTGCAGAAGTGCGTCACAAAAGGGCTGTCTCAGAGGGCTCGGGTTCCCTCCAGCTGTACTCTCTTGAGAGCAGCAAATATTAAGAACCTCATCCACCAGCCAGCAGGTTCCAGTCAACACTATCCAGCTCCTCAAGCCCTCTCTAGAAGGCTGTCCTGGTTCTGTGTAAAAAGGGGTTCAGGGCAGGACCCACACGGAACAGAACTATGTACTCACCTCTCCCCCCCTGAGAGAGAGAGAGACACTTTGGAAAAAAAAATGAAGTATATTGTTTAACAAGGAACAGAAAACGGAAAAGGGAGATAAGGAAAATAATATATACAAAGATTAGGGGAAAAATACAAAAAATAAAATATACAAAACCCTCAGAAATGGTTCCAGGGTCCCACGGAGTGAAAGGACAACCTTCCTCTCCGAGCTCCAAGGCAGGAGTGAAATTAGAACCCACTCCCTGCCTCTTATCAGAGTGTGTGTGGGAAGGGGAGGGAATACAATGGGTCACCCCCACCCGGGGTCCTCCCAGTTGCTGGAAGGGCACGCCCTCATTCCAAGCCTCAAACCACAACCAAGGCAAAGACAGCCAGGGCCCAGAGGGTGAACCCCAAGATCTCAGAGAGCCCTCAGCCCACATGGATTCACTGTTGAGCTCAAGAATGCAGAAATGGCTCGTTCTGAACCACCCACCTCATGGGGACAAAGCAATCAGGCAACACATTCCCTGTGGCTGTAGGGACAGGACACATGGGGGAATTCAGGAGGAGGTGAGGTGCACAAGCAAGGCCATCTGTAGGTGTGGACACCTCTGGCCCAAGGGAGGTGGCAGGAATTGGGGAGAGACTGCACACTGAGGCGTAGTGAGGTGGCTCATTTGGGTCAGGCAGCTTAGGTGCTTTTAGATGGATGTCAAGCTCTGGCTGGGTCCCCACCCAGAGCTGGGCACCCCCATTCTGGAAATGGTTAGGTGAAGTCTCATCCTCACTCCAGCCCTGCCACCCGAGCTGCTGAACTGCAGCCACCCATGGGGGTCTGCTCCTCAATGCAGACACCCCTCATTTGCAGGGAAATTTGCTTTGTGGCTTCTCCTCTCACACCCTCCAAGGATTTGGGAGAGGCAGATGAAAGGAGGAGATGCAAGAGAAGCAAACGAAAAAAAATGTGAGCAAATAGGAAAGGGAAAACACTTTCCAGAACATCTGCTCTTGGCAGCTCAGGCTGGATTACCACATGAAAAAGAAACTGCAGCAAGAAGGAGCCTGATTTCAATCAATCATCTCAGCATTTCTCTGTCGCTGCTCAAAAAAAGTCTCCTTTGGAGGCTGATGTTCTCCAATCAAACTATTTGATTCTGGTCCATAATAAAATATAATCCTAGTTCTTGCCTCCCCACCTTGTATGTAAAGCACCTCCAAGAAGGCAGGCAGAGGGAGAGACTGCCTCCAGCTCTGTGGAAGAGCATCCTGTGATAGGAGCTGACCAAGTGCACACCCAAGTGGAACAGAGACCCCACTGGGGGCAGCTCTTGGGTGCCTGGCATCATTCCACGGTCCCCTCCCAGCCCACCTGGCTCCAGAGATGCCCTTGACTGAGGTGGGGAGGAGCAAACTGCTGGCTTGGTGAGCAGGGACTTCCAAACAGCCTCTTTGTCACCAAGGCTGCAAAAGCAGCTGAGGCCAACAGCCTGCCACCCTTCCTTTTAAACTGCCAGACTAATCGTAGGGGCTGAAGTCATTGCTCTCATCCTGACAACTCCCAATTTCTCAGCTTTATGCTCTGCTGGCCAAGCTCCTTCATCCCAGCATGGAAAGCAACAGCCCCGGGGTCTTTCCTTTTAATGCCCTCGGTTCAGCTCCTCTTGGACTCTTCAGGAGTCACAAATGAACATCTGCAGGAGGCACAGCCCCTCTGCAAAGGTTAATCAGCTCACCCAAGTTGCTAGGAAACAGCACCCTGCCTGCATAAGAGCAAGTTTAGCCCTGGAAGAGTTCATTCCAGTGAAGTCATGCTCTCCTTCTGGTCAATGACTACCAGGCTGCTCCCATTCATGGCTGAGCTTGTCCGTGGCCTGCAGGAAAGCTGAGCAGGCCACCCCCTACCTCTCTCCAAAGTAAACCCATCTCCTGCTCTGCCAGAGAGCCTGGCTGTGAGCACAAGCTGGCCCCTCCTCTGCTCCAAACCTTGAGACATCATCACCCAGCCTGCTCCTGGCTGCAGCACGGCCGTGGTGCCCATCCATGGATAGTTGGGCTCTCCAAAACTACACTCTGCATGTGTGTGAGCAGGTGTGACCACAGGGAAAGGAAGGTGAGAAGCTGCAGCTTTCAGTACCTGCTCCAGGCAGAGGACCTCATCCCAGCAGTCCATGGAAGGTGCTTGGGATGAGATTTCAGCCCTCAGAGGTGCACAGCTTTGAAACCCCTCCAGGGATGGGAACTCCACCTCTGCCCTGGGCAGCTTGTTCTGGGGCTTGGCAACTCTTTTGGGGAGGAAATTTTACCTAATATTCAAACCTAAACCTCCCCTGGTGCAACTTGAGGCTGTTTCCTCTTGTCCTATCACTCATCACTTGGGAGAAAAGACTGGTCTAGGGACTCCCACTGTGAGCAAGGAGGAGACCCATGCTAGAGAGGGCTATTTTTGTTCCAGACATAGCACTGTAGACCCTGAGGGGCAGCTGCTACCATCAAGTGCTCACATTTAAAGTTCATCAGCCCAGCCAAGAGGAATTAGGTGACCAGCCCGGGTCACACAGCTAATCCAAGCCCCCATGACTCAGTCTGGGAGCATTTTGTGAGCAGAGCAGCTCGTGCCAGCACGGGAGGTTCTGCCCCAGCCTCCCTGTCCCACCAACGAAGGTTTTGGGTTGTCTTACTTGGTCTTTGTTGACGAATCCCCAAATTCCAGCTGCAACTTCGCAGGCAAACAGGATGACCAGGCAAGTGAAGAACTGCAAAGGCAAATCAAGAGAGGGACACTTCATGTGGCTATGGGCAAAAGCAGCCATTGGGTGGGTAGAGGTGTGGAGAGGCACTCAGAGAATCATTAAGGTTGGACAAGACCTCTAAGATCATCAAGTCCAACCATCATGACCACTAAAACATGGCCCCAAGTGCCACGTCCACACGTTTTTTGGACCCCTCCAGGGCTGGGGACTCCAGCACCTCCCTGGGCAGTCTGGCCCACGACCACTCTGCCAGGAGAGAAATTCTTCCCAAAATCCCATCAAAACCTCCCCTGGTGCAACTTAATCCCATTCCCCCTCGTCCTATCTCTAGTTACCTGGGAGAAGAAACTCCTGCTGAGGGAGGAGATCAGAGCAAGGTGTTGCCTGACTTCAAACCATTTTCTCTGTCATACACATGCTCAGCCCAAACACACTTTTCTAGAACTCTTTGAATGCCACCCCATGCCCTGACTTCCAACTTGGGGTAGCCACGTGGGGGTCAGCAGAACCCTCTGCACACAGAGCCTGGCAGGGAGGAGGGTGCCCAGGCACCCGTGGGACCATCCTGCCAAGCTCCTTGCTCTGCCAACAGATGCTCTGAGGATGGGAGTGGCCAGGGCAGGGTTAAAAACACATTCCAGCTGCTGAGGAGCTGCGGGGTGTCAGGGTGTGATTTATGGGCAGCTCTGCTGGCATCCACAGCCCTGCAAGGCTGCTGCAGTTTTTTGCATAAATACCAACAATGACGTCTTCCCCCAGCCCCACCCTGCCCGTGGGATTCCAGCACACCTCCCTGCAGCCCCCCAGAGCCTCCCTGCAGCCCCCCAGAGCCCCCCTTCCAGCTTTATTTTTGTTCAGACCCCAGGAACGTGTTTTGGTGGTCGGTCTGTTAGATTTGGAATGGGAAGTCGTAGAGCTCACACATCATAGAATTGTCAGGGTTGGATGGGACCTGAAAGATCATCTCCCACTAGAGCAGGTTGCTCAGAGCTCCATCCAGCCTGGCCTTAAAAATTTCCAGGGATGGGGCTTCCAGCACCTCCCTGGGCAACCTGTGCCAGTGTCTCCCCACCCTCGTGGTGTAGATCAGAGTGAAGTGAGGAGGCACAGCCAGGCACACTCCACACACAGCCCCCATCACCTCCACCACCCCACCACCCTCAACGACTTCATCCCAGGAAGAGCCCCAGACTGGGAGAGTTGCCACAGAACTAAAGAAGCAAGAGGTGGGTGGAGCCAGGGGAAGACAAAGTCACACTGTGGGCTGGGACGACTGCTCCTGGGCAATCTCTTTTCCAGACACATTCAGGACATTTCCTTCAGCAACAGAGGAAATGGGAATTTCCAGAATGATGCTAGGACCTGGCTCTCACGTGCAAGAGCAAAGGGTTGTCCAAAAAAATGGAAGCAGGACTATAGACCTGACAGCAGGAGAGGACTTCCCATGTCTTGTCCACTCCCCAAACAACGAGCTCCTATTTGAACACCCACCTACCCCTGATTCTCCAGGGACAGCTTTGAGGGACTGGGTCCCACATCCCCCCAAGAAATCACCTCACCCTAAATCTCAGGCAGGATGCCACTGCAGTCCTCTGGCTAAGCACTAGGGCTCACTCTTCTGGTGGCTACCCCCCAGTGAAGGATGGCTCCTGTATCCCAGGTTTGGAGGGGCAGCTTCCTGCAGGCTCAGTTCTACCAGCTGGCTGTGAAACACCAGAGCCACAGTGATGGGATGAGCCCCAGCCCCTTCCTGGGGAGCAGCACCCACTCCACGCTGAGCAGATCCCTCCTGCCTTCCTCCAGTCTCACCACCCACCTTCCACACCACTGATTTGGGCAGCGTGGAGCTTCCTGGTCCCTTCCCCTGCTGCAAGAAGCCTGCAGTGACTCCATCAGCTGGCTGCAGGATTGGGGAGAGCGTTTCCTGCCCTGCAACACCTTGAGGACACTGCCTGGAAATAACCTTGGAGCACGGTGGGAGCCTTGGCCAGCAGAAAGTGTCATCAAGAGGTGTCTCCAGCCTCCTCTTGGCAAGCCAAGGTGTGAGCAAACATGGGCTGCACATGGGGAGCAGAGCTGCTAATTTCAGCCTCAGGTACATTGTACCATCTGCCCTCCTAATCCTCTTTCCAACTTCAAGAGGGACCAAGGGGCAATTCAGGTTCTGTAATCACTTACATTAACAACAAAAAAAAAAAACACACAATCCAAAGCTGCCAGACCTGACTAAAAAAACCCATTGGATTTGTCCACGGGCTCCTCCTGTTCTCAGCAGCAGTGTTAATGGCTGAAAACTCCCCCAGCAGCTCTCATCCACTCAGGTTCTTCAGAAAAACATGTTTTATAAAAGCTGGTGAGGAGCACCCCCTTCTTACTGGGAAATAGAAGCAGCTAGAGGTGAAGCCCTCTGTGAGAGCAAGGGAAAACAGCTCCATCTCCCTCTGTCCCAGCTGAATCTACACCCATGGGGTCCCTACACCACTACCAAGAACCTTCCAGCCCAACCAAGCCAAGTGCTACAAAGTCCTTCCCATTTTTATTTTTTTAAAAAGTTTTACCCTTCCAATCTTTTTTTTTTGCATCAAGTTCTCGCATCAAGGGTGCACTCCAGTGATGGGCTTTCCAGGATGTACCTAGACATCCTCACTAAGATTTTAGGGGAAATCTTTGCTGTTTCCTCATCGAAACAGATAAAAATAGTAGATGGTTCCTTAAAAGAACTGGAATTCCCCACAAGCAGCCTTGAAACAGCGAAAGGGGAAGATGTAGAGGACAGCAGGTATGAAAGAGGGTTTCGTGGGTGCTTGGTAAGACAGCCAGACCATGAAGAAAGAGATAAAAGCATGAAGGAGTTTCATATAAAGCAGAGAAGATGATCTCCAAGGATCTCACTGCTCACACATACAAGCAGCCTTGAAACAGCGAAAGGGGAAGATGTAGAGGACAGCAGGTATGAAAGAGGGTTTCGTGGGTGCTTGGTAAGACAGTCAGACCATGAAGAGAGAGATAAAAGCATGAAGGGGTTTCATATATAGCAGAGAAGATGATCTCCAAAGATCTCACTGCTCACACAGGTCTTCTGCAGGCAGGCAGGAGCAGGAGCTCACAGCCTGCCTGCCAGCTCAGCTGGGCTCAGCAGAGGCCTCAGCCAAACAGCACTGCCCTGCTCCTTCCAGAGGTCAGCCAGTTCCCACAGAACTCTGGAGATCATCTCATCCAACCCCCCTGCTCCAGCAGCTCACCCACAGCAGGGTGCCCAGGGTCCCATCCAGGTGGGTTTGGGATCTCTCCAGAGAAGGAGGCTCCACAGCCTCTCTGGGCAGCCTGGGCCAGGGCTCTGGTACCCTCACAGGAAACAAGTTTTTCCTCATGTTCAGACAGAACCTCCTGAGATCCAGTTTGTGGTCGTTGCCCCTTGGCCTGTCTCTGGGCACCACTGAAAAGAGTCTGGCCCCATCCTCTTGACCCACATCCT